GGTTGCACATACGAATCTCCTGTTGTGTTCACCTGATAAACCTTCATGAACACTGGTTTCACCTTATTAGCAACGTCACGGGTACCCGCGTCTGAGGGTCACATGATCTTTAGACGGGACGATTGAGCTGTCAATCGTTGTGATTTTTGAAGTAGAGAATTCGTACACTTTTTCACAAGAAATTGAAATATGTTTTACCTTGATTTTCCTTGAGAATACTAAAATACTTTGTATAATTTGTTACTGTTAATTTTTAAGCGTAATCCAAGATTTTATTGAAAATGTGTGAAAGTGTATACCGCCCTCTGTTTCTTATAAGTAATTTTGAATAAATTAAAAGATTGACATTCTTGAATACTAATTGGGATTTTGTTCCAAACTTTTGCTCCAGAGATTTTTAACGAGCCATTCATTACTGAGCAATTTGGAATGGAGGGGGTGTGGGGGATAACATTAAGCGAGTGAGCGTATCTCGTAGAATATCCATGTCGGTCAACAACCATTTCTATATCATTACATAGGCGGAAAGCTGCAGCACCATTTATACAGTTGTACATTAAACATGCTAGAGCGTAATCTCTACGTTCATCAAAAAGTTTCAAATTATTTTGCTTAATAAAATCAATTCCACGAAAATATATAAAATCAAAATTATTTTAAACTATTCTAGCAGCTCTTTTTTGAAGCTTTAATAGAAAGATTTTTCTTTTTGTTAGACGTAGTTCCCACACTGAGATTGCATAGTCCATACAGGGTTGTATCGTACTTCTATAAAAAATATTTAGAAGAAATTCATTTAGAGTTTCTGCCAATGTATTTAGGATGTTAATTTTGTACCCAATAGTAATTTCTTAAATTTATACCAATTTGCGACATTATTCATTATTGATTGTAATTTGATATTGATATTTTCTACTAATTTGTCAGTAGTGTAGATGACAATATCATCCGTATATATATATGCTACATGATCCTGGTGATACATATCGTGGAAGGTCATAATGAATAATGAAAATAAGATCGGCCTAACACACTACTTGGTACCTGGTACTTGGTGGCTATCCTCTTGAATACTCCACTTGGAAGTCTGACAAAGAGGCCTTGAGGGAGTGGCTTATTTTCTTTAAATTTATCGTAGTTGGGTGCTTCCACTGCATCCTGGGGCAGTTTGTTCCATTTTCGAACCGTTTTTGGTAGGAACGAGGAGATCTAAATATTAGTTTTGGCAGCAATTTCAAAAAGTTGAGCGCTATGGCTCCTACGTGGTCTATTTACCTTTGGCAGACAGATATCTGGCTTGAAATTGATTTTTGTGTTCATAACTACACTACCCTGTGGGATGCCAAAATTTGCTTTTTCAGATAATTTATTATGACATTATACAGACAAGTTTAATTCAAAAACCTACAGATTATTACACACCATGTTGTTTTTCAGTTGTATTTAGCTTGTTGATGCCATGGTCCATTATTCTTTCAGCTATTACTCTTGTCAGGTGTAGGGCCAGAGGAGGATCTAAAAGATGTCGGAATCGATTGCAAAGTAAATTTACCTGCAGTTGGTAGGAATATGCAGGTAATTACGTAGGTTTAATATTAATACAACTTACGATAATAAAATAACTTTCTTTGAAATTAAGGTTATTATATCCACTATTATATAGAATATATGAAAACCTGATTTGTAGGCTTATGTCTATTCTATTCGATTTGTGTATGCCTCCGTATTCCTTTCATAATCTTTGATCCAGTAAGGAAATTAACCCACTGTTTTTAAAAGTAAGTCAGTAAGATTTAACATTTATTGTGAATCGGGTTTCTGACTCCCTGTCATATACTATATAATAATCAATGTTAACTAAAAGAGGAAGAGTCTGATAAAGAACCTAATTCCTTCTAGAAAACAAATAATATTTCTCGTTACTAAACAAGTGTTGTTAAACATCATTGTTATAATTAGACAAGGCTATAATTGAGATAGGTGCCATTTGGAGAGGTAGAAATTTTTATATAGTTTTTCAAGACCAGTTTTTTTTTATGGGGATTTAGAATATGTGAAGTAAATGAGCTGTAACCTGAGAACTTTCGCACGAGGGCGCCTTTTTCAAAATGGCCGCCAAAATTCTCTAAAATACATATATAGGTAAAATAAGCTCATAGGAGGTAGGTTTGACCAAATTTTGAATATGTAATGATAAGAATAACGTATAACTTTATGACAAAGAATTGTATTGTACTGTTACGGATCATTTATAATAAGTGTTTACTTTCGTTTCTGCAGGATCACTTAACTGTTATATTAAGAGCTACCACCACTCAAAGTAAAATGATGATCAACCAAACAGATGCAAACAGCCTCTCATCGAAACTGAAATACATATTCCAAAAGAATGTAGGCCTATGTCATTTACTCCTTTATCGTTGGAATTCGTTGGCGTTAAGATATTAATAAATAACAATATGACGTTATTCAGAGATTTCCAACTAAGTTTTATGTGAGGTTTACGATCTCTTAAAATTATCAAACTTTATACTTTATTTTAAAAAAAATACATTATTTCTAACTTTACATAATTAAATACTTTTCTTATTATTTTAGGGAATGCTGACAACAAATGGCCTTGAAGCAGTTGCATTCTTAAATAGCGGGTTAGAGGTTAGTCCGTAATTACACAAATTTTTATTCAAGTTCCCAATTCGTAAAGGTTATTTCACCAATGGTTATGAAGATAAATTGTTTTTCTTATTCTTGGATTCATGTTTTTTTGTTTTTGTTTGTTTGGTTTTTTGTTTTTTTTTAGTTTTTTTTTTTTGTTTGGCGTTCAACATTTTTACTATGATCACTTCTCTTAAGTTGTTGTTGTTGTTTTGTCCATAGAAATCTTATGAATGGCCAGACCTGCAGATCATACCTATTCCAACTTACTTTCCACTCGGCCCAAATCAATTCTACCTACTGAATTATGAAGAAAGGTATGTCAATCTCGCTCCATATTATTTCTTGACATTTGCTTTTACATAATGTAATGCAATTAGGAGTGGTAAGTCCATATATATGTATATACATATATATATATATATTATGTATATTATGTATATTATGTATATATATATTATGTATATATCTGTCTCTTATACACATCTATGACCCTATTGTAGCTCTGGAGTTTTATTTTAACCTCTTAAACAATTTCATCACTTTTTACACATTTTATTTGAACAATATGTATGAGGGCGACCTAAGATGTGTATAAGAGA